GATAGACCATAATGAGCAAGCTCAGCAGTTTGTCAGTCAAGAGATCATCCAGCGTGTGTGCCCTCCACTGAGTCCAGCTGTACACTTTATGATTTGTTATTTACAGATGTCAGTTGTGTATTGCAGGGCTTTTGTGAGTGGTAAGTTTTTTGTTCTTTATGGAAAAGTTAGGCTCAGGGTAAACATAGGAGCAAACTTTATGTGATGAGAACTAAGGCAGAAGATGCTGAAAGTATTAGAAAATCAGTGTCCATATCCTGAAGACATATGGCGACAAGAACCAACTTTAAGTGCACCTGCATCGATCAGTAGATGAGAGTAATGGGATTAGGAAAGAATTTTCAGAGACTCATTTTTTGCTTTTTGTGTTTGTTTGGTCTCAGAAGACAAAACAGGAGCCTCTCATCCTGGAATGATATAATTCAGGGTTGTTAAGCTCAAAAAAGCTGGTAAAGTTGGGCACATTATTATTCTTAACATGGACCTGGAATTTATAAAGATCCAGATCCACTGGCACTTCCTTCTTTGATCATTTTATCACTCTTAGGGACCAGCTAAGTGATTCTATAGGACAAAGAATTGTGCTCAAACTTTATAATCAAATGCTAATAGAACAGTCTGGAGCTGTTTTATAATATTAATATAGCACTCCAGAGAAATACTGAGAGAGTGCTTTGTCATTTAAGTGCAGTGTTAAGGTTAAAAATCAAGTGTGTGTGTGTGTGTGTGTGTGTGTGTGTGTGTGAGAGAGAGAGAGAGAGAGAGAGAGAGAGAATTCTAAGTGGTCTAAATTACTCTGATTTATTATCATAAGACCAAAAAGAAAGAAAAGTCTGAGGCAACAAAGAACACTTATCAAAAGGGATATGCCTGTTCTTCATTGCTGCCTTTGATCAGTTTTTTTTTAAGGGAAATTTTTATTTTAAAGGAAGCTACTAGAGATTTTCATATAGTCTTTGATTGTTTTATTTGAGTTTCTGTCACAGGCTTCCTGCCAAGTTGCTCAAAGCCCGGTGGAATTGACATGCCCCTCTCTGCAAAATACTCACTGGAGCTCCTGTGAATCCTTAGATACTGCTACCAGGATACAAAATATTTCCCAAATAAACTTGCACCTGGAAACAGGACACAATATTTATTCTATACCTCCTTATTGCTTTTCAAATAACTCAGCTGTACAGTTTACAGTTGTCTCTGGTGTTTTGAAGGACTGTCAGCCTTCACAGATAGGCATACATGCATTGAATGTGTGAAGTGAGCAGGGGTTTGTGTTCTGTTCAATCTTCTAAGTCATATTACATGCATGTTACAGGTTCAGGGCCATTGAGAAGTCTTTCTTCAGTGTTTGCTATCTGATAGAGAGGCCTTCTGAAATAAATAGGTTGGGTGTGTCTTTAGCGCCACCTTTTGGATACTTGGGAAAATAACATTTTAAAGTAAATTGGACATAGTCGTGTTTATCATTTCTGCAGTTGCATCACTGTGAACACAGCTGTGTAATTTTAGAGTGATTTGTTCATTTCTTTTGTTAATGACCAAAGTAACTATAGTGAGTAACAAACTTCTAGTGCCTAAAACTAACAACAGTAATCCAGAGTTTAGGATAATTTGCTAAAATGTTTAGCATAAGCCTCTAGGTCTTAAAGCCAGATGAAAAAATACCATAGCAGCTTGACAACTTTGGAAATGAGGGAATGTGAGGAATTTAGCACCCACTTTGCTGGCTAGACCTCACAGAGCTGCCTGTAGTTTTGTGTTACTAGCTTAACTGCTCTTTTGTATATAGTAGTCACTGTTAACATTGCCTCTTATAGCTGAAATCCGTCATCTTCATTTAAAATTTTTGAGAATGTAATTTTTGGAATGTAAATATGAAATTGAACAAGGGCTGTGCAGGTAGACGTGTCTGTGAAGCTCCAGTGCACCACTGCAGATGCCTGTGAAGACCTGAGGGTTAGAGTTTATGTGGTTGGTCTCGGGAGTGCCTCATACTGTGCACCAGCCCGTGATGGTGAGCCCCACACCACTGCGGCAGTGCACTGAACCTGGGAAGGTCCTCCAGCAACTTCTTTCTTCTTACAGAAAACAAAGAAGCCCAAGGCGGCAGAGTCTGTTTCCAAACCAGAAGTCAGTGAAGGTAAGATGCTAGAAGAGGGGATATTTTAGTAAAATAAAACTGCAGGGCCATGTCCCAAATAAGTTCGTGCTTTGGTTTGCTTTGATCTTACTTCCTCTGTTTTTTAAATTTTACAGAATGCCCAGGGCCATCAAGGGTGAAGACAGGCAAGCCTGAGGAACTGGGTCCTGATACTAGAGAGAAGAAAGCCGTCTCAGCACCCAGAAGTACAGGTGAGTCCTGCTGAGATGAGCTGAGCCCGAGCTCATGGAGAGCTAGGAACTCCAAGGGCATGTTCACTTTATTGGACTGGGCACAGGAGAAAACTGAAGCATTTCCCAAGTTGTGTCTGTCAATAGTTCATTGAGCTTCTGAGGGGAACTGTGAATTGTCAGCATACCTCTGACCGGGAGCCCTGTCGAGATTAAAGGGCCCGGAAAAGGAAATTGTGCTTTCCTGCTCAGTGAGCACATGGTGCTGCCCAGAACTGGACTCAGACCTACGTGGAGACTGTCATGTGGAAAAGCATGGGCACTGACGGGAGGTGTCTGCTCTCTGTAGTGGGAATCTTTATGGGATCCACACAACACTCAAGAGTCTTTTCTCTCCACCTGCTTGTTGGCCAGAGTCAGCTTCTCTTGGAGCTCCTGTCTTCAACTCCAGAGAATAGCATTTATTTTACTAGAAGGAAAGCACAGACTGATCAGATAGAAGAAGGCCTAATTTAACTGTGTTGTGTAAATGCACAGAGGTCAGCATTTCCCATCCTGGCTTTGATGTGGGGTAGTAGCCTGGCCTAGGACAGACCTCTCCAGTTTCCATCTAGTACTTTTGTGTCCTCCCCGCCATGCAGCATTCACCTTCTGAAGACCAGTCTATCCTTGCCATTCATGGGCGGGAGCAGAGCATGAGGCACAACAGGGTGCTGTTACCAGGATCTTATGTGCTGGGAGCTGTGGTTTTTAGGAGGTGGCAGCGGGGATGTGTTTCCATGTAGAGTGCTTGCCCCAACACTTGAGGCCCTGGGTTTGATCCCCATCACCACAAAACATAAAGGGTATATATTTCAGCATTCCTCCCAGAAAGCAGCAGGAAAGTATCCAGGGAGAAGCAGCTGACTTGTGCCCTTGTGGGAATGCCATGTTGGAGTGACCTGTAGTCCCAGTATGAAAGGTTTTGGCTTTTCGTTTTTCCAGCAACTAATGGGAAAGCCGGGAAGCCTCCCTGTGGGGCCGTGAAGAGATCCATCGCCAACAGTGAAGAATCCGAAACCTACAAGTCCCTTTTCACAACTCACAGCTCTGCCAAACGCTCTAAGGAGGAGTCGGCACACTGGGTCACCCACACGTCCTACTGCTTCTGAAGCCCAGCTCAGGCTTCTTCCCCAGCCTAGGCTCCTCTGTGTGGTCCTGGGGACTGTGTTGTCTCTAGTGTACTCGGTTTAGATGGTGTCATAAAGTTGTCCTCACCAACCTTCAAGACTGTGGTCGCTCTTGCTGTGAGGGTCCTAGGGAGGGACGGGGGCTTGCAGAGTGTCTGGCAGCCTCTCCCCAGCCCGCATTCACACCTGCCTCTGCCTGCAGTGGGTGTGGCCCTTTCTACTGCCAGGCTTTGTAAGCTTGCAATAATGGCTTGTGCGTGGCTACTTATTTTGACTAAAATTTTATTGTTTTGCTGCTGACAGTCAATTAAGTAAGCAAGTGAAACAGCCTTAGGTGAATTTAAACACAGTCTGGCAGCAGGAGCCTTTGAAGGAAACCATTCCTCACTCCAGCCCTGGAAGAAGCTGGGGCCCTGCTATCTGGCATTAGGAGAGTCTTCTCTCATCATTTTGGACCTAGCAGAGATTAGTTGAGTTCCGAAAGCTTTGGTGCAGAATAAAGCACGCCTGCCTTTGCTCTCCCTGGTCTGTGCTTTCTTGCTGCTCTCCCTTCCCCTAGTGTTTTTGTGAGGCATTGGGGTCCCAGGAATTCCACTGTCCTCGCCCTCAGCAGAAGGTGAGAAGGTGTATCCCACCCTTCTGTGCTGTGTCGATATCACACATCAGCATACTCCACTCCCACGAGGCTGTCAGTGCAGTGTCCAAGTTCCTGAGCTCAGTGCCGTCTGTGGGTCCTCGACACCAGGAAGGCCCCAAGGTTCTCTTTGTTCTACTGTATCTGCAGCGCTGGGAATGGGGCCCAGAGCCTCCGCCCCGAGCTGTGCCCTTATCTGCCCCACAGTGATGGGAGGACTTGGCCCCAAGGAGCATATTTACACTGTTACCAGAGAAGCATTTTAATCAGGATTACATCATTTTCCAGCAACTAAAGGGAAAGGGAATTTTTATTGTGAACTTTTCTGGAATAAACATGAATTGGCCATTTTATTTCCTCGATCAGTATTATATACACCTCAGTTAAACTATCTTTCAGGGTTTTGTTTTAATTATTCTCATAAAAATTAGTTACTTTTAGCTGAGTGTGTTGGTGCACACCTGCAATCCCAGCGGCTCTGGAGTCTGAGACAGGATCACAAGTTCATAGCCAGTCTCAGTAACAGTGAAGTGCTAAGCACCTCAATGCGATCCTGTCTCTAAATAAAATATAAAATAGGGCTGGGGATGCGGCTTAGTGGTCAAATGCCCCTGAATTCAATCGCTGATACCAAAAGAAAAAAAAATTATATTTGGTTAAATTATTTTTCATCACAATTTATTCTTCTCTATTTTAACTTATAAAGAAAACTTGAGGGGCTGGGGATATGGCTCAAGCGGTAGCACGCTCGCCTGGCATGCGTGCGGCCCGGGTTCGATCCTCAGCACCACATACAAACAAAGATGTTGTGTCCGCCGAGAACTAAAAAATAAATATTAAAAATTCTCTCTCTCTCTCTCTCCTCTCTCACTCTCTCTTTAAAAAAAGAAAACTTGATCGTCCTTTTAGTCAAATTCTACTCATTAACAGCTTTTGCCATCATGAGGTATTTTTTATTTTGATGGCCTTTTTAATTTTCCTAAGTTGGCCTTAACCTATCCGTTGTATTTGGCATTGTGTCCAGCTTTTGACTATGTCCAGTTTTTCCCAGTCCCAGTGACCTAGTCCCAGTGTCCTCTACTCAAACCTTGAGCATCTCAAAGCTTCCAGCCTGTGGCCTTCTAGCCAGTGTGGGGGCTACGTGGCCTGCCTTCCCCACTTGCCCAGGAGGTGTCCGTAGGTGTGTGTGTGGAGGGACTTTGAGGATTCCTTTCCAGCCCTGGGTGTTTAGCAAAGGCATCACTACCCCGAGGCCTGAGAGTGTGTGCCTGTGTAGAGCAAGGGCAGCTCCCTTTGCACCTCTTATGAAGGGAGTGAGGGGGTGCAGGCTGTCTGCATTCTGTGCCACTTCCATAGTGTCCAGTGTAACACCAGCTTGTACCAAGGCAGGTGAGCAAGGCAGTAACTAAGGTGAAGTCCAGTAGCTGGTGTTGATCTCGGGCTCACCTGAACAGCGGAGCACTGGGTGGATGTCTCAGCTCCTGGAAGGGGACACAGTGACCATCACCATCACCACCACTCTGTGGGTACCACACCTGGACAGCAGTGCTCAGTGCACTTGACCAGGTCACTTACCACGCTGCCTCTGATGAGTCCTTGCCACAGGAACAATCAGCAGAGGCTGGAAACTTTCCCAGACAAGGACTTGTCAGGTTTTGGCTTCTGGACCAGAGGCTGCTCCTCCACCCACTGGGGCCCAAGCCACCTTGCCAGTGCAGTGGCGAGGGGCTGGGGGCGAGGGGTTCTTCAGGACAGCCTTTACTTCCCAGATGTAAAGTCGAATCTCACTCAGCCTCACAAACCTGTCATCACCTCTTGACCCAGAGGGACCTTCCCAGAGCTTCGTGCTTTTTCTTGGTCCTGTGCTATGGAAAAGCACCAAGCTTGTAAACACATTGTAGAAAAAAAGGGTTTGGGGGATTCCTATCATCAAATTCCCATGAAGATTTGTAAGTAATGAAAATCAGGAACAGAGCAGCTCTGTTGTGAGGGGTCGTTGGTGTAAATGAAATCCACTGGCCCCAAAGGCAGTCTCACTTGATCACTACCAAGGTCTCAGTGTTGTTGGCATGCTTGGCACGGTTCAGGCCCTGTGCAGACACAGCACCCCCGGAGTACTCAGCAGCTGTCCTCAGCAGCTGCAGCTGCTCCCAACAGGAGCCTTAGTACACTGACGGGGGTCAGTGGGGTAGGATGGTGTCATGCCAAGGCTGAGCCTTCAGACAGGTCACAGCACACTCCATGGCCCAAGGCTAGGAGCATTGGGGCCAGCTTCTCAGATGGACATTCACAAGCCGCAGCAGTCAGATTGCCTGCAGCATGAGGCCTGTTTTCCTGCAGCCCTGGGACCTGCACTTCTCCACCTCTTGCACACACAGTCTCTGCAGGAGACCACACCACTCCAGCTGACAGCAGTGCACGTGGAGAATCGGTGCAGCATGTGACACTGCTGTTTTCCCCTTGGGTTTTACAGGTGAGGCTTTGGGACCTCTGTGTTGTCCTCAGTGTACAAAGCAGTCAGCAGCACAGGAGGGTGCCCAGTGGAACCCCAATGACTTGGTATTCAGTAGGAAGTCACTGTTTGGGAGTCAGCCTGTGAACTAGGTCCTTCCTTAGCATGATTGTGACATAGGTGACCAGGGGAACAAGTACAAGCCTTGTGCCCCCCTGACCAGCCTTCTTGTTCATTCATTTTTTAAAACTTGTGGTTTCAAACACTGGTCAGGGAGGTTTGGTTTATTCCGGGCTGTGTCCTTACGCTGGGGCCTTCACACAGGCCAAATGTCAGCCCCTCCCCATGTACCCAGCCAGCTCCTCAGCAGCGTCTCTTGAGCTCTACCCACATCTTCGAGAAAGTCTTCCTGAATAATTGCATTAAGTACCCCTTCTGTTCTCTTAACAGTTCTCTGTTCTTGTCAAAATTTTACCAGGTCATACTCTGAATTCCCCCTGGGCAGGTCAGTCAGTCGTATGAAGCAACAGGGACACTGGTGAGGACTGAGGAGAGAACACCAGCAGGGTCAGTTCCTGCCCTGCCAGAGCAGAGAGTGGGCCCATGAGAACAAGGCCCCATGAGGCCAGAGCATCCATATTCAAAGGAAGCCTGAAACTTGGTGTTTTTAAGTGAAGCTGCTTCTACCACTTAAATGCTGGCCAATCTTTATTTCTGGAACAATGGCCACAGATGAAATGCATCGGTGGCCCCTTGTGCAGCCTGTGGACAAACATCTTTCCCGCTGGACTCCAAGCTCTATGGGAACACAGTGTCTCTGTTCACCACAGTGTCAGAATCAAATAAATGAAAGCAGGATGATGATGGCCCCTCCCATTGAACACCAGAGTCAGAAAGAATGTTCTGGCAAGGAGGTGACTTCCCATCATGCCCTCTCACTGGAAATCCTCCCCTCCCCCCAGTTTCTTGAGGTCCTTCTCCAGCTACCACTGTGAGCCTCCTTGTCCCCAGCCTCAAGGCATCACAATGGCCAAGGCTGCCCTGGCTCAGGCCCTCTGTGACATCACCAGCGGCCAGCACTAGGTCCCCAGTCTCCCAGTTGCCAGGGCAGACAGACCCACCATGAGCAGCTTCCTCCACCACCTCTGCTCACCATGCGGACGCTGAGATGGTTCCTGTTCTTGCCTCTGTGCCTCTCCTGCGGCTACGCCTTTATGTTCTCTTCTCTGAGAGACAAAGCCAAAGAACCCCAGGGGAAGGTGCCTTGCGGAGGGCACTTCCGAATTAGACAGAATCTACCAGAGCACACCCAAGGCTGGCTTGGGAGCAAATGGCTCTGGCTTATTTTTGTTGTTTTGCTGTATGTAATACTGAAGTTTCGAGGAGATAGTGAGAAGAATAAGGTAAGAACAGCTCCACAGATTCCATCTCAGAAACGGCGACAGAATCAGGCCTTGTAGTCCGTAGGGTCAGGACAGCTGAGCTATCTAGAACTTGAATGGGGAGGAACTGCCTCGGATCCTGGGAAATTTTGCAAATTTGCTTCCTGACATTCTTAGTGAAGACAGTGGTCCCCAGAGCCACAGAGATTGGGACAGAACAGTTGATAACCTGTTTAATGGCTCATGATTTTTCCTGTGAATTTTTTCAAATTAAGGATAGATTCAGGAAATTACAGTATTTTTCAGGTAAAAAAATTATTCACAAAGCCAGACTTAACTTTCTCCTGATTTTTACAATTTTGCCATGTTCAATTTATTACAAATTTTGGAACTTGGTGGAAATGTTATTATCCCAAGTAAATTAAATAGAAGCCTGTTCTAAAGTTATAAAGATGTCAAGTAAGCTCTGGTCCCCAACAGCTCTCCAGTTGAAGGAGAGTAGCAGAGAAATATGGCTTGTTCTCTCCTGGACACTCCCAGCACTTCATGATACTCTATCCAGACTGTCTAAAGCTGGAGCCAGGAGAGATGGGCCAGGAGGTAAAGCATTTCAGTTTTGGGGGTCTTATAGTCTCTGTGTAACTACTCAATTTAGTCATGAATAATATGCAAAAGAATGAGCACAGCTGTGTTTCAATAAAACTTTATAAAAACAGGTTGTGGGCCAGAGGTGGCCAATTTGCCATAGCCTAGACTAGAGCAGTACAAGGGACCTGTTCTCTTAGATGAGCCCAACTGTCAAAGCCGAGAAAATCAATGGAATTATTCACGCCAGATATCTTTCTTGACAGGAGCAGACTTCTACTGGCCTCCGAGGCTGCCAGTTTCGCTCTCCACTAAAGAAACATCAAAATACTTCCCCCAGCAAAGACTATGCATTCCATACCTTAACCCAACTTGAGATGGACCTTGTGAAGTTTGTGTCCAAGGTTCGGAATCTCAAAGTCACCATGGCAACTGGTGGTAACATCAAGCTGCAAAGCTCAGAGATGCCTACAGATCCACACAATAATATCACAATATATGAGATATGGGGAGAAGAAGAGTCTGAATGAATGGATTTGTGTGTCAAAATAGAGGGAAAATAATCAAGTGTTGACAGACAGTATCCAAACCGATTAAACTATTCTGGAGAAAGAATTCCTGCATGTGAGATCTTTATTTTCCTCTTTTTTTTTTTTTTTTTGGTATGAGAATTGAATTTGGGGGCACTCGGCCACTGAGCCATATCTCCAGCCCTATTTTGTATTTTATTTAGAGATAGGGTCTCACTGATTTGCGTAGTGCCTCACTTTTTACTGAGGCTGGCTTTGAACTCCCAATCCTCCTGCCTCAGCCTCCTGAGCAGCTGGGATTACAGGCGTGTGCCACTGTGCCCAGCTCTTTTTCTTTCTTTTTTTTTTTTTCTTTTTTTTAACTAAAAGAAAAAATGAGGTGAGGCCCATGTAGCCATGGCAGCAGTTGTTTTGGCTTTTCCACTTCCTCTGGACCACAGGTGGTAGGAGGGCTGAGAGCTTTCTAGGAAGCGCTCACAGTGGGATGACAAAGCCTCAGAAATCTGGAGGAAGATGCTAACATCATAGTCGTAAAAATTCTTGTCTCCTTACTGTTAGAGCAACATAGAGAACCGATCCTTAATGATTTGTAACATTGCAAAGGACAACTCTGTGAGTTTAAAATGAGAAAAACAATTCAGTCAAGAGGGAGGCTTTTTAAAATCATTTGCATCTCTTACCACCAGAAGTCCTCTTGTTTATTCCATCCCATAGATTACAGTTATTGTCTTTTTTTTTTCCTATCAAACTAACAATTACATATGTCTATAGTTGGATTTTTAAAATGTAGAAGAAGCCAGGCATGGTTGCACATGTCTGTCATCCCAGCTAGTTGGGGAACCAAGGAAGGAGGATCACAAGTTTGAGGCTAGCCTCAGCAACTTAGCAATTCAATTCCCTGGCTCAAAAAACCAAAAAGGACTGGGGGCATAGCTCAGTGGCAAAGCATTCCTAGGTTTAATCCCTAGTAACAACAACAAAAAAAAATTGTATTTTTTATGTCTTGGGATACAGATGAGTCAACCAAGGATTTCCAAATTAGTTGATATGGTCTTGATAATACTTAAAGTATGGATGTCTTAGCATGTTCTTGTGGCCCACTCTCTTGCTTGTCTAGTCTGTTAATCTCGCCTACAGACTCCCTGCTCGTCCTCGTCTGGCTGCCAACTGTAGATGAGTTAGTCGACAGGCCTGTGCAGCCCACAGAGGGTCAGCTCTGGTGTCCACCAGAACCCCAGTCTTGCCTCAGTCCACACAGTGTGCCTGACAGGGAAGCCGTGTGTCTCCATCACCCTCCTTCCCAACCACAGAAGTTGGTTTGCTGGCAGAATCCATCCTGCAGGACAACTTTCTCACTCTTCGGGAGGTAGACCTTGGGGAAGCTGCCTGTCTCTTCCTCTCAACAAATTATACTGTCTGAAAAGGATCCTTAAATGCTTTGGTCTTGGTCTTACTTTTTAGCTTTCAGGATGGGAGAAATGGAAGGAGCCAAGGTACGCCCTTTTGCCTTCTATATTCTGTTTCCCAGCAAACTGGGGAATGTGAATTATTCTCACTGAAGAAATCCAGATAGGTTAAAAGGGGTGGGTAATCTGTGGTCTCAATATGGGGTAGGTTTTAGATTGTCTGCATTCAATCCATGGACACTTAGGAGCCTCTCAGGTCAAATCCAGCCCACAGCCAATAATAATGGTTTTTATATAATGTAAATGTTTGAGAAACATTGAAGAATGAATAGTGTTTCATGACATGAAAATTACATGGAATTCTTATTTCGATGTCCTTAAATTTTTACTGGAACACAGCCAATTCATGGCAGCATTGAATGACTTCCGTAAGATCCAATATGGTCACCCAGCTGAGAAAGTTTACCAACTGCTCCTTTACAGGCTAAGTTTGTCAGTCCATGACTTATGCTGAGGTGACCCCAGTTGCACACACCTAGAGAAAGCCTCCCTTGAGTGTGGCTGGAGCTGTGGATGTGGTGGGATAGTAATTTTATGGTGGGGTTGAATCATGGAGGAGTCCCCAGCGGGCTGAGGAAGGGGCTGCCGTAGTGTGAGATCATGCATCCTTGGCAAAACCGAGAGGGTAACCTCTAGGACCTGAGAGGTCCCCAGTCAATACCTAGGAAGATGCTAGGCTCAGTGGTACACACCTGTAATCCTTGCAGCTCTGGAGGCTGTGATAGGAGGACCATGAGTTCAAGGCCAGCAGCAGCAACTTACCAAGACCCTGTCTCAAAATAGGGAGGAAGGGAAGGACAGAGGGAGAAAAGCAGGGTTCTCATCACACACGTTCCATCAGCAGCCAGTGCCTTGGAAGAGAACGAGCCTCAGGAGAGAGTGCAGCCATGGCCAGTACCTGGTTCCAGCCCAGTGAGAGCCAGAGCAGGAAGCCTTGTCAGGCCCTGACACGCCCCTGACCCAGGAAATCAGGATGAAACTGTAGTTAATGGTAATTTGTTTGCATAGCAGCAGAAAGCGAATACAGCATGCTTCCCAACAAGATGTTTCTGATACCTCCTCACTTGGCACATTCACCTCCCCCACCTGGTCACTGGCCCTTGACCCAGGGAAACTGAGGAAACCTCAGCAAAGGTCAAGAAGAACACCTGGTTCCCTGAAACCAGAGCTTGCAGACCATTGGCTCAGAGGCTAAAGCGTTCCTCACCCTACTGGGCTTGCTGGTGGGGGCAGTTCATTCTCTTTCTTTGGTAGAATTAGATCGGTAGGAAGTTGTGAAGGCAAAGGGCTCCCTGTGCCCTCTGCTCTCCACATCCAAAGTGTCCAAGCCAGGAAGTGGGCATAGGAGGGACATGTGAGAGCTTCATGCCCTCTTGTCCCCTTCTATCGTGCCACCACACCATGTTTCGGACACAGAGCGGAGTGTTGAGTGCACAGAGCTCTCCCTCCTGCCTGCACTTCCGGAGCCCACCCAGCTGCCCTGAGCCACGCCCACAGCCACTGTGTGTTCCCCACCAGTCCCCTTTTGTCATTTTGAGGCTGTGCACGTGGAATCAGAAAGCCTATAAATTTCTGAGACTTCTTCCACACAGCACAGCGCCTTAGACCTGCTAAGGTGTGACTGTGCCCTCCAACACTCATGTGACAGTTAATTCCATGGCGATGATATTACGAGTTGGTGAAGCCTGCGGGCTCCTCCTGGTGCGGGGTCCAGGCTGCGGTGGGGTGGGTAAAGAGGAAGCAGCCCCTTTCCCTCCCCTGTGCTCTCTCTTCCGTGCCCCCCACCCTGGGCTAGCGCAGCCCCTCGCCAATTGCCAGCACTGTACTCTTGGACCTCTGGTTCTAGGACCCTGAGCCAAATAGACTTCCACTGTGGGTCAGAACCCCCATGCGGGGTTGGGTCAGAGCACAGACATACTGATCCACCCCTTGGAGCTGACCCCTGGCTCTTGCTGTTCACTGCTAAGTGTGACCCATCTCAGGGCACTTGGGTTACTTCCAGATCCTGGCTCTTATGCACAGAGTTACTATGGAGAATCTGGGTGGGTTTTGTGTGGACACGCATTTTGGTTTCTCTGGGACAAACACCCAGAAGTGCCCTTGCTGGGTCATGTGGCTGGTATTGTTCCAGTCCACAGTAGTGTTTTAAAACCCTTGAATTAGTGGTCAGTGTTTGACCATGAGATGTCATACTATGTTGTAGCATCTTCCCAGGAGGAAGAGGGACAGCAAACTGCCAAGTACCTATAATATGCAAATAACTGTAGCGTAAGGCACCTCACCTCTGGCTCAAGCCCTCTTTGGTTTCCCAAGGTACTCAAAGCAGTGTCCAAAGCTGCCTTCCAGCCCAAGGGCCAGGCAGGTTCAGCTCCTCCCAGCTGAGACCAGTCTCCACCAGCTGCACCAGGCCAAGCTCATTTTGGCTTCAGGGCCTTTACCCTGGCTTCCCCTGCCCAGGATCCATTTTCCCTCCAGGTGTCATATTGCTGGCCCCTTGCTTGCTATGCTGATCTGTGCTCAGTGGTCATCTCCCTACCCCAGGGAGGCCTCTCCTGAACATACCTATAAAGGAGCCCCATCTCTCATCACATCAACCTACTTTATTTCCTTACTATATAGCATCTATCACTGTGTAATTTCATTAGCCTGCTTCTGTATGATTTACTGGTTTGTCTTGCGGTGCTGGGGATGGAACCAGGGCCTTGTGCATGCAAAGCAAGATCTCTACCGCAGAGCTACACCGCAGCCCTGTTACCCTGCTGCTTGTCTCTCCCCTTCCCCTCAGGCAGGGACTATGATGTGGTATTAGGAGCTCTGTGTTCATGAGGGCTCCATCCCTCCTCATGAACACAGAGCTCCTAATACCCATGGAACCTCCAAAGTGGCAAGGGATGGCTCCTGGATGCCTCAGGTCCCAGAGGCTGCTCTCCAGGGGAATCGGCCACACTGGAGGCATGAAGGCAGGCGGTCCTCATTGGCCAGCGATGCAGTCACTTAGGCTCACATCCCAAAGCCTCCATAACCCCCAGAGGTGCTGCTGCTCTGTCCTGCCCCCACCCCAGCTCAGTCCTACACCCTTCCCGCTCCTGCCTCCTGAGTTGTGAATGAACTCCTCCACGCCAGGAGTCTTAGATTTAGAGGAAGCTGCACCCCTGGAGCCTCCTGCTCCCTCACTCCCACTCCTGTCCCCTTGTCCTTGCGCTGTCCTCTCCACTCCTTTCTGCACAGCGCCTGTGGGTGACCAGCCTCTGCTTACTGGATTCCTTTCTCAGCCACCTGCATGTTTTCTCGCCACTCCTCTCTGTGAAAGGTGGATGCCGTCAGTGCTCCTGTGGATGCTGGTTCCCTTCTCCACAGGACATCCCACAAACTACTTCATGCCTCTGGGTGGGAGGGGTGGGCGGGGTGGGGACGTGCTGCCCCACTCCATCCTGCGCCCTGCCCCCATGGACGCAGGTGGTCTCCAGCAGTCTGCAATGACAAGCTGTGGTGGGGTGCATGACCTCATGCGTGTGTCTTACCTGTGATTGAAGTTGGGTTACTGGGTGCAAAGGTCCTGTGGGTGTGATTTTGTTAGGCATTGCCGGATTTCCCTTTAGAAGGAGTGTGTCGGTTCACA